CTTCCTGCACATGCACACTGCTGGGGGTTGGAATACGTGAACACTCGGACGTTCTGAGGGGCCAGCACAGAACCCCCTGCTGCTGCTCACACTGAGATGTCCGCAGCCAGAAGCTACAGAACAGGAGCTGTTCACCTGCTGCACACATCTTCAAGGGCAGTTAGTTAAGTTCACAGACATGAAAACAGTTCTCAGTTTCTTCCACTGTAAAGGCGGCTGGAGAAGGACAGAGCACACAAGGAACACAAGTGGGGGCAAACACAGTGGGACTCCAGCTGCTGTCACCTCTACCCCGGAGAACTCCACACCATCTGGCAGAGAGAAAGGAAGAGGGAGAGCAAGAGGGTACGCGGCCTGGAAAGAGGCCCAGAGTGAGCCTGCCTCGTCTCAAGGTAAAAGGGCCCAGCGGAGACAAGGAAGCATCTGGTGGCATGTCAGTCAACCCCTGGGACCCCGCGAGGAGTTAAGTGACCACAGAACTGAGTCAGTCCAGGAGGCAGGATCCACACTGTCCAAGAGTATTCCTTTTAAAGCCCAGCTCCACTGACCCCCCGAGGCCCCCAGTTGAGGAAACCTCCCTTTTGGGCCCTGTCTCACTCTGGGGCACAGAGAATGCTAGCAGTTAGAGTGCTATGTGGGGAGAAGAGGGGGCTAGGGCAAGTGGAGAGGAAGTCGAGGCAGGGAGGCATCCAGACAGCAGTGCCAGGGCACCCCTGCCCAGGCCAAAGAGGGCCCTTGAAGCCCGAGAGAGAAGAACGCAGAGGGAGGGAGCTTGGGAAGCCAGGGTAGGAACCCAAGGGCATGGCCCCACTGCGGACAGAAAGCCGGCCTCTGGGGCTAAGGAGTGAGGAGCTAATGCGGGGAGCACACAGGAAGAGAAGCTCCGGGGTCTGGGGGTCAGGCTGGAAACGTCACGGAGGCCAAAAAAGAATGACCTCCTCCCCAAGCCTATGCCTCTCGGCTCTCTCAGGGCTCGCTCCTCTTCACTGGTCATCCCTCCCCAACACACTGGAACAAGGTGGCCTGGTCTCAGAAACAGACAGGAAAACAGTAGGAGCCTATCCGTATGTGGTGGAAGCCTGTGGAGAAATAAATTGATGGGAGGAGCAAGAGGCCTCCGTGACGATGCTGGCTGTAAGAGGTGACGGGCCTGTGCCTCAGTCTGTGTCTAACCCATCCTCCGCTGGCTGCCAGACTCGTCTCCATTTTCCTTTTGTCTGTCATCCAGCACAGCACCCACCACGCGCCCTCTCTACCATGCCCTGTCATCTAAGGTGCACCCCGACGCCAGGGCCTCTCTGCCCGATGAGGGGAACAACCCGACGGCCTCCCATCGCGTGGCTGTCAAGGCCCCTTGCAGTCGAGCCCAGCCCACCCTTCCTGCCCAGCCAGTGGCCTGCCCTTCACTGCACTCCCTACACTGGCCTCCTTACTCACCGCAGATGGCTCAGGCCCCACACTCGCCTTTCCTCTGCCTGTGTCTTTCCAAGCCCACAGCCTCTGCAGACCCTCAGACAGCAAGTGCAACCCAGGAGTTCAAAGTTGGGACAGATCTGGGCTAGCATCCCGGCCCTGCCCCTCACTGGCAGTGTCTCCACCCTCTGGGCCTCACAGCCCCATCTGAGCCCTGACCAGCAGTATGCCCAGGGCTGTGAGCCAGCTCAGCGCGGGCACTGGGTCCATGCCTGGGAAGGCGGGTTCTCCTCCCCTGTGCTCCTGCAGCACCTACACGCCTCACCATAGTACTTAACAATTGGCCGCTTGGTTGTTTTTATTGCTTTATGTGACTTGTTTTCCCAGCTGGACCATCAAGATCTTTAAGACACCTGCATTATTTGCTTTTCTGATTTTGGATCCATTCGTTGTAGGAAATGCAGAAAATCTCTTATGTTCCAAATAAGAGAATAAAGCCATCCACAGCCCTCCTCAGATAACCACTGAAAACGTTCTGGCTTATTCCTTTGCATCTCTTGTGCAGAGATGTTGTCTTTTTTGAAAGTTAAGATCATGTTGCATATGGATTTTTGTGTCTTGATTCCTTCACTCAATGTCTGCCCACATCAGACATTCTTCAAAAACAGTTTTTTGACACCCACCTAACACTCCAGCATGTGGAGCACCATCACTGACTCCACTGCCACCTCTGTGAAGGGAGGTCAGGCTTGGTCCCCAGATATGGAGACTTGCACCGGCACGCTTGAAGCTTCAAACTCGCCAATCACCAATTACCTTCCTTCCGTGCTGATTAAATGCATTTCCTCCCTTGTCCTAAGAAAGCCCATTTCCTGTGGACAAGACTTACGGTGAAAAACGGAACTGGCTGTGATGAGCAAGCCAGTGTGGTGGGCTGGCCGGCAGAGGCAGGAGCTAGATTCCTGGGCCCTGTCTCCCAGGGTCTGGTGTCAGCCCGATCAGCCTAGGGAGCACGTGGCAGCCCCCACTGCCCTGGCCCTGGTCCTGACCCTGACCCCTCCAAATCAAAGGCCCTTTCTGCCAGCAGGCAAGAGAGTATGAATAAAGTTCAAGGTGCAGTGCTTATCCAGCTCAGTCAGCACATCATAGGAGGAACAACCCAGAACAGGAGGATGTTGGACCTAGACAAGATAAAATGCCAGAGGCCATGACAGAAAGTCTTCAGTTTTCTAAAGGGTTTAAGCGTGTTCTCTGTGGCCCAAAAGACAGAGTCCACAAGGACTCAGACTTTGACTAAGCCTGAGCAATGCAAAGAACAAATGGCTACTACTTTGTAAGGTGGTGGAATTTCCTGTCGCTGCAAAGTATCATGGCCAAGATTGTCTGGAAGGGAAGGCACAGGTGATTAGACCACATGATGACAAAGTCCCTCCCACCCCAACAGGGAGGAGCTGGACCCTGTCACAGGGAAATTCTACAGCAGTGCCTGGTCTGTGAAACACTCTTAGTGTCCAGATGTTCCTCCTACCTCGAGAGCTTAGCTCTCTGGAAGCTACTCATGCATCTTGTAGAAGTTTCCAGGGCATTTCACAACGAAGAAAAACATTTGCAACCTACTGAAAACCAAACTACACGGAGATATACCATAGCTAACATGATGGAAATTATACCATATGCAACGAAAAGAATGTTTCTCAATAAAAATGCCCTTTCTTGTGTGTTTTTTTTTTCATTTTTTTCCGGTTGCTAAAACAATTAGCCTTACAGTCCATCTGGCAATTTACATGTAATTACCCAGGATGCTCTGCATGGCTCCTCAGGACACTCTAGCTACCGGAAGTAATGTGCTCAAGTGAGGTGCGATCAGCATTCCTTCCTGTACAGACTCCACCTGCCAGTGCCCCGCTGGAACTGAGACAGCAGCAACGAGGAATAGCTCGTACCCAGGGCAACAGGAGAAGCCTGGAGGGCCCTGGAAATACTGAGCTGCTGGCCTCCCTCCATGAGTGTCCTTTCCCCAAAGACAGACACGTGGTTTAGCAGAGTCCCTGCACCCTCCGGGATGGACATTTGGCTCAGGGCCAGATTTACCAAGATGCCCGCCTAGCTACTTTCTTTCTGGGTGTGAGCACAGGAAGGGGCAGGGAAGCAGTTTTAAGGAGTCTTGATGTTCAACAGTTGGGAACCTTATCGTTTCCAAAAGAAGAAGAAGGAGGGGTGAGAAGTTAAGAGCTCAGCCTCTAAAGTACTGAAGCACAGGGAAGGGACAGCCCGCCTCCCTTGCCTGCCTGCCTGCCAGCCAGTCTGGTGAAGGGGTATGCTCGGAGAGTGAAGGCCCCCCAACACTCAGCACCAGGGGCCAAGTGCCCCAGCTCGCTGGTTGAACCACAACCTCTACCCTGGGTTTGTCAGCCTTCCCCCAGGAACATGGTAAGTCAGGGGTTAGGTTATAAGAACCATAAATATACTCAGTTAATGTAAGAAAAAAAATTGCTATTTAAAAACCCAAGACTTTTAAAAGTTGAAAAGTAACGGCCCTAAGCTGGCTTTGGAAGGGTGGCCCAGGTGAGGCGGGCCTGTCCTAGTCAGGGTCCCTCCCGGCAGCTCCAGGCTAGCACCCTGGGCAGGCTGCTATTCGGTAGGCACAAAATGCAGCCTCGTTAGTGGGAACTCCAGAGGGACCCACACTGGAGATGGGAGCTCTGGGCCGAATGACCCCCGCCCCTTCACCTCACCACCTCCTGGAGGGGTTCCAGGAGAGGAATGCTCATGGGTGCCCGAGCCACTTTCTGGACTGAAAGAAGATGCACTGGATCCTAAGCCCAAGGCCCCAGCCAGGCCCCACTCCACAGGGAGCCTGAGGAAAGTCACCCGGATTTTTCTTTTTCTTTAACACCTTGTGCTTTATAGGAAGACAACACAAAATTATACCTCAGAAAAGCAAGCAAGCCTTCCAACCACCAATTCAGCCTCTCCTCTGGGTCATCTCTGAGGTCACGAGTCCATGAGGCTACACAGCCACATTACCCACCCTAGCCGCTCAGCCTGGGCTGGGCTGGGCAGGGAAGAGGCCTTCCTGCTGGACCAGGCTCCCTGCTTCAGCAACTACCTGCTTGATGGCACCATTCTGGGGAATAAAGGAAACTTCTGGCATCCAACAGAGATGGGATGGAAAGTCATCACAGGGGACCTGGCTGTCCTGTCCGCCAAAACTCCCGGCGTCTGATCCAGAACAAGACCCGCCTTGAGGCCTCACTGCACGACATATGGTCTGAGGTCTGAGAGGGAGACCAGCAAGGGGCAAAGGTCTACAGTCAGGGACCCTGCCTCTTGGGATGCAGACTTGCAAAGAGCTCTCCCCACAGAACCGTTTCTGGGAGCAGAGTTGAGGGAGACTGAGTTTAGAAAGAAGGCACATGACAGTCGGCTGACTTCCTGGATGTCTGAGTCACTTCATTCAGCTCTTCGCTGGGATACGGGGCTACGCACTGTTTAGCACTCCAGCAGGGCCCACGGGAGACCAGAGAGGCGCGTCTCCGTCTCCGCCGAGCTGCACCCCGCCCCCGAGGAGGCCTGCGGGCACTTACCAGGAAGCGGACATCGTCAAAGCCATTCAGAAGCAACTTGCTCTCATACTGCTGCAGCCCAACCGCCTCCAGCCACTCCCCGACGCTCTGCTCCAGCGTCCGCGAACCTGACGAGAGAGGAATCGGCAGACGCTTGAAAAGGGAAAACCCATTAAGGCGGTAGCAGCGGCACTCAGAGGAAGACAGATGGCACTGCCACATCATGGTCATTACCATAAAGCAGCCAGACTATGTACAAGAGACCAGAGAGCAGAGGACCCGCAGCTCCTCTTCCGGGTGCAGGCCAAGGGCAGGTGGGCCCGGGCCACACACCCACCCACCCCCTCAAGTCTGAGCTCCTCCAGGGCTGCGGTGGCACATGCACGGTCTCCGCCCACAGGTCAGCGTTCACACTGAGGTATTTCAGGAAGTCTGTTCCCACGGGCACTAGAGGGGCTGGGGGCTCCTCTCATCCATGCAACTTCTGGAGCCCCCGCGGGGCCGTGGGCGAGGGACAAGTCCTGTGACCTTGCAGCACAAACCGGTCAGGAGAGAGCACGCGTCTTCATGCAGCTGAGGGGCACAGGCACACAGCGAGGGCTCCGGGAGGGAAGCAGCGGCGGCTGTTCATGGGGACCCAGCACATGCAACACAAGCAGCACAGAACCCGGCAGGGGGAGAAAAGAGACTTTTACTTGTTTTCCCCCAGCAGTCCCGGAATAAGCAAACCATGGCCACTGGCCCTTTGTGCTCAGAGGCTCAAGGCAGAGGGGGCCGAGTGCCGCGCACGGGCCGGGGCCCGGGGCCCGGGGCCCGGGGCTGGGGCTCAGGTGTGGCCCTGCTGTGACGGCGACATCGCGCTCCCCCGGGCTGCACGGCCAGCGGGGCCAGGGGCCCAGTCCACAGCTAGACTCTGGCGGCCGGCGAGCGGGGCGTCTCCCGCGCCAGGGTGCTGTCTGAAGTGCTGCCTTCCCGGGCCGGGCTCTTTTGCTGGAGCTGGGCATTCATCTTCCTCTTCTGATAGTGGCTGTTTCTGGGACTCGCCTGCCTGCTCAGGTGGAAAGCAGGCAGGCAGATCCAGTTCTTGGCTAAAGACGACAAAACCCGACCCGATGAAAGAAAGGGAAAAGGGAAGCGGTCCTCTGTCAGCTGAGCTGTGACGGCTTAAGTCTATTCACATTCGGTGCTGTGCTCTCTCTGGCTGAGTGATACAGACAGCAACGGTCTTCCCAGGGTCTCCGGATCCTTATGTTCTCCTCTGAGGGCCGGCAGGGAAGGGACGACATGTATCTGCTCTGCTCCTCGGCCGGACAGGGGGGCGGGGTGGGGAGGAACAGAGTTCAGCCCTCCCTGCCGACCTGAGCGCCTAGCCCCCACCTACTTCTCTGGTTCTCATGGGCAAGAACAGATGATAAAAGAAGGAAAAAAGGGAAAGGGAGGAAAAAGAAGAACCAACTACAAAGACATCACCTCCAGAGAACTCTTGACACGGTGAAAGTCATTCTCTTGTTCTTGGCACTTTCTGCCCTTCAAGGCAGGCCAAGGCCAACTGGCTTGGTTATCAGGGAGCCCCCGGTGACCCACTGTCCTAGGCTCCCCCTCCTCTGTCCTCTGCAGAGCAGCTGGTGGTCAGGGACCCGGTGGCCTCCCGATGCACGCTGCAGCAGCACTCCAAGACGCTGGGTCCCCTGCCCTTGACTGGGGCTGTCTGCTCCAGGGAACCTAGGCGGCGGGCTCTTGTATGCTCACGAAGTCAAGTGTCCCTGGCTGCTGATTCATTCCTGCTTGTAATCCCCCAGCCGGGCAGCTGTGGTCCTGCCTGCTGCCGGTGGATGTGTGCGCTCACAGAACCGCAGCAGAGTGCTTTGTCTGGAGGCTCCTGGGCTCCACGCTGCCTGCTGCCGGCCCCACAGCCCTCGCTCGCTCTCATAATGTCTGGCCCTCCCCTTCTCCCCTCCCCACCCTCCTCCCTTCCACGCTCAGGAAAATACATCAGGGAGCGGACATCGGAGCAGAAGCCGCTGCTGCCGCCGCTGAGGGAGAAGGACACAGCAGCACAAGCATCACAGCAAAATGACAGGCTCCCCAGCATCTCCTGTCGGCCAACACACATGCGTCTGAAAGGCGGAGACGGGGAAACCCTACCTGCAGCTCGAGGGGCTGGAAACAGCTTATTAAGGAGAGAGAAGGCACATTCCTATAGTTTTGGCCAACAGTGTCTCGGACAGCCAGAGAAGGGGACAGAGGAATGACACCGCCCTGAGGGCAGAGCCCACAGGTTAAGCGACCCCTTGCTCACCATGTAAGAAAGACCGTGCCTCTCTGCCAAGAGAATAAGCCATGGGGGTGTCACAAAAACAGGTGACCAAATAAAGACATTATACCTAATATTCCTCAGGTGAGCAAGCGCACTCAGCAACTCGGGGAGGGACTTCTCCTGGGGCGGCCGGAGCCCCGGAGAGAAGCGCCAGACCCAGAGCAGGCCCCTCGCTATCTAGAGGAGGAGGGTACGGGAGGGGAGGCACCAAGGAAAAGGGGGAGCCGGGACCAAACCCCAAGTACGGCCGTGAAGACAGAAGAGGTCACATGTAGAGACAAAGACCCAGGGACCACATGTCACCCTCTAAACATGCTGGGGGACACCGACAGCTCAGCAGGCTGTAGACGGTCCTGGCAAAGAAAGGGCTGTGTGTGCAGGGAGATCAGGCCCCAGAAGGAGCCTGCACTGAATGGCTATTCAACAGCTAAAGCGGCTGGCTTTAGCAGGAGAAAGCAAATGATCTCTTGCGCTCCACAGACAGGCTTTTGTGGAAAGCAGCCAGAGTGGCCGGGGCCAGTGGGAAGGCTTCCCCTCCCTGGACTCCTCAGAGTGGAATGAGTTGTGAAACCTGTCTGTTGGGGATTCGGGTAACTAGCTCCAGTGCTGGCAGCTCAGGGTTCCAAGGCCCAAGACGATAGAGTAAGACTCCAGTTCCATACTGGGTCTCGTCCTATAGAACACGATCCTCTGTGAAACCAGTCACGCTGAGCAATCCTGTGCTTAGTTAACAGCTGCCTGCTGGAAGGCCTGCTCCTCCTCCCAGGCTGGCAACCCCAGAGCCCAAGTCTCTCCTAGATCCAGAAACCTAAGGACAATCTGAACCCTGCACCTGACCATTCAAAACAAGCAAGAATTCTGCTCTGGCCTGAGCTGAAGGCTGGTGCTCCCTGAGGTCCTGGGGAAAGCCCCGTCCTGAACTGTCAGATAGAAGACAGACCTCATGGGCAGATCTGAGTCTACTTTCCCCATGCTTCATGGCCTGGCAGCAGTGCAGACACAGTAGTCCGGGGACTCTGCAGCATGAGTGGGGGCACCCTCTGTTCAGGTGGCTGTTCTCGTGTGCCCACCCTAGACGGTCCTACGCCGCTGTATAGAAGATGGTTCAACTCAGCGGTGCTAAAACAGGACTGTGTGTCGGGACCCGGTGACCTAGGGGGGAAGCCAGGCCAACTTTCACCACTCACACAGGTTCGTGGGGGTAAGAACTAGTGGGTGGGACCACGAGGGCCAGGAAAGAGCTCAGTGTCATCACTTCCAAAGAGAAGGGCTCTTGCAGAAATGTGTTTTCCAAAGGTGCTGCCACATCTCCTGATTTATCAAAGTTAAGATACTGACCCAAACTCTCAAGCACGTGCATTCCTTGGACATAGAGGGGTACAGGCAAGCAGAAAGCTGCTTCAACCGAACGGACTGCTATCGATCCCAGTCCTGGCTGTCCTGCAAGCACGGTTTTGGAAAACGGTAATGGTGTTTGTCTCAGTACTGAACATCTCCCAACAAACGCTTGACTCTTGATGAAGGCTGCACACAACAACAGAGAGGGAGGCTGTCTGTCTGTTCTCCAGCACGTGAAGACAGAGCCACAAACGCTGAGTCAGAAGAGCCATCCCTGCAGACCCCAGCGTAATCCAAGACTGATGACGACGACGGGCCACACCCAGCTGGGCCCTCTCTTGCTAGAAGCCAGGGAAACAAGGCTGCTGGAAGGAGGTGGCTCTGGGAACCCAATTGGAGACGTGGTGGAGGGAGACAAGCAGATGCACCTCCTCCCTAGGTTTTTTGATGCGGGTAAGTAATTATTTCATGGACAAAAAAAGAGCCTATCTACCATTTACCTCTTTTGCTCAAGTATTTGTATATATTAGTCATTCCCAACAAACCTATGAGGTAGGTACTATTATCCAAAGGTAGATAGGGAACTGGGGCTCAGAGAGATTAAGGGACTTGCCAAAGACCCTCATACATCCAGAAGCCGAATTTGAACGTGGGGCTGAGGCTCCAGAGCCCATGCAACTTTCACAAGCACCACAGCCTCAGCAGCTCCCTTCCCCCAGTGTGCACACTTGTCCCCACCCATCTGACTCCCTGATAGGGCCAGAGGAACCACAAGTGTCACCTGGGCTAAGAGGCCAGTCCTGCATGCAGCCTCCCGAGTGAGCGAGGAAGCCCTTCCCTCCAGCTGGAGAGGCATTTCCTCAGGGATGGTGAGAGGCCAGGCCTCACTGAACTGACTCGGCCCAGGTGCTCTGGTGGCAGAGGGAGGTCTGCAGGTGCTTGGGGGATGGGGCGTGAGACTTGCTCTAGCTAACAGGTACCTTTAGAAATGTCCCCTCACCTAAGAAAGTAATACAACCACAGGTCTGTTATCAAGGAAAACAGCTCAGATATGGCCTCTCTAGCTCCCTGCTTCCAACAAAGGAAATCAAGGCTGACCGCACCCCTAGGGCTTTGAAAAGAAAAGAATGCCCAGAGTAGCAGTGACCCAGGATAAAAACGAGTGACTAAGCAAATGGAAAAATGCAGAGACAGACACAAGGAGGGACAGCAAAGCCAACCCCTCCAGGTGATGCAGGCTAACAGTCTGAGACCACCGGGCCAACCCAACGCCCTGCCACTGCCATGGAGCAGCCGAACGAGAGCTACTTTCTCACGAGGGGTAAGTGCCAGAGTTGCCTGGGAAAGTGGACAGACCGAAGCCAAAGTGCACTCCAGTTTAAACCAATCGGAGAAAACCTACATTTACAAAAATACTTCTGGACAAGTGACAACTGTTAACTTAAAAAAAACCTTCTCAATAGGTGGCCTAAAATGCAATTTCCCCTCCAATGTGTAAGAAGAGCCCTTGCCCTACAATAACAGCTAGATGGGCCATACAGATACATGTCTGAATTGCAGGAGCATGACGCGGGCAGAGGCTGACCTCTCTCACCCACCAAATGTCTGTCTTCTGTGCCAGAGGAAAAACCTGGGCCAGAAAGGAGCCAGAGGTCTGTGTTCCATGGGAAAGCGGCTGCTTGGTACGATACCTGAGATCTTCTGTTGTTCCTGAGAAAAGTCAATCCCTTCTCCAATAGAGCTCATGATTTTCTCAATCTGAAACGGAAGAGAGAGGAACAAAAAGGAGAGGCTGTCAGGCTTCAGTTAAACATTGCCAGCTCACTATCAGTGCACAGGGCAGCTGGTGTGTGTGGGAGTGCTCCAGGTCTCTTCCAGATGATTCCAAGGTCCAAGCGCCAACCTGCAAGGGATCAGAACTCTTTGCTGCTCATATCAAGAAAGGCCCTTCTGTGGCCACAGCCCAACAGGGACTAAAGACACGCTCCGAAAGGAGGGAGTGGGTAACAACCTGGGCTCAGCTGCTGGAAATGCCGAAAAGTCTTCCTTCCAAGGCATTTATATATCCCTCCTGCAGCACTTCCCCCAGCCCAGCAGGGACTGGACAACAGCAGGCCAGACCTGGCACATTTCACTGCTCACACCAGAATTTAAATTCCATGAGAGTAGAGACTTTGCCAGCTTGGTTCCATGTGACACCCCAAGTGCCTAGAGCAGTGCCTGGCAAGTCCTAAGCATTCAACAGATAATTGGTGCTGCCTGACTGCCAGCTCTGAGGTATGAGGACAATTTTTAGAACGGAGACAAGAAGAGAACCTCAACATAGGAACCTCTTAGAAGTCAAAGTGAGGCAGGCGTATAACTCTGATTAGAGGATCTTTTGATGCAGACATGTACCCTTCCTCTGGACCACAGCAGGGAGAGCTGGTCTCAAAGCATCCGGTGTCTCCAGCATTGCCCCCTCTATGGACCACCTGTTCCAGCCATCTGGCTTTGGTCACCCTGAGCCAGAGCCAAGCCCCCCACTCCAGGAAACCTGGCCAGGGGCAAGACAGGGCAGCAAGGAGGCGGACACCTTCTCTTCCTCTCCTCCTCTTTTGGGATGCAGTGATAATGAGCTCATTCATGGCTCTTTTTCCAAAAAGAATGTTACGAGAACCTTTTGTACCAGGGCTTGGATGCTTTTTCCTCTAAGTGCAAGTAAGGAGCCTAGGTCTGACAATCAAAAACAAAAACAAAAACAAAAAACCCAAAAACACAACTCTCCAGCCAGCTTCCAGCTGGCAGACAAAGACAGCACATTTGACAGCGGGCAGAAGAGCACAGAACAAACACCATCCTTCCCTTTGCAGCCGGGAGCTGTGGCTATTTTCCTCCAGCCACAGAAAACTGCCTTTTAACACACACTGTGAACTCCATCCCTGAGCTCAGCAAAAGCCAAGGGAAACACAACACACCTGACCTGTGGAGCAAATGGAGGTGTGCCTCCGCTCACCAGCCCCACAGCCCAGAGGCAGGCACGGAAGCGGGCAGTGCCACCGCAGGTCTGCCCTGTCCCTTGAAGAAAATGTCTTCCTCCTTCCCTTCCTAATGCATCATTCTCTTTGGCCTCCGCATTATTTCAAGAACTGCCTCCTTCAACAGGCAGCCTGGTGCCGCGTGGGAAAGACCCACACGGACAGGCAAGCACTTTCACGCTTTCCCAGCTTCAGTGCTGACTCTACAAAAACAGGGATGGGTCTTGGGGCACCTGGATGGCTCAGTCGGTTGAGCGCCTGACGTCGGCTCAAGTCATGATCTCACGAGTTCGCGCCCCCCCATCAGGCTCTGTGCTGATAGCTCAGAACCTGGAGCCTGCTTCCGATTCTGTGTCTCCCTCTCTTCCTGCCCCTCCCCCACTCGTGCTGTCTCTGTCTCTCAAAAACATTAAAAAACAAACATTAAACAAAAACAAACCAGGGATGGGTCCTGCCTCCTATGAAGGGTTGTCGTGTGGATTAAAAGTAGAGCTTACATAGAGCATCTAGCCAAAGGCCTGGCTCACAGAAGATGCCCGATAAAGGGTTCGTGTGCTTTCCACTTCCCCTCTTAGAGTTCCATTCAACCTAGTAAAAACCTAGTTAAAGTTGAAAAAAATTTTTTTACTTGTATTTTTTGACAAGTCATACATCCACATGATTCAAAGTTCAAAAGATACAAAGGTTATTCAGAGAAGTCTCCTTGTGCCTGTCTCCCAGCTGTCTGGCTCTCCTCCCCCGCAGGGAACCAGTGTAACCAGTTTCTCAAGTGTGCTTCTAGATCTGTTCCAGCCACATGTAAGCAAACATATGAAGGTATTCTACCCCCCACACTGACACAGGCAGTCTATATATGCTGCTCTGCATCTTGTTTTCTCTATTTAGTAATACATCTTAGAGTTCTTCCCACAATTCATAAGAACATTTTTTTTCTTTTTCTTTTTAACCGATATGTCACCTTATTTATTCAACCAGTCCCCTGGTGGTCACGTATGTAGTTTCCAATCTCTTCTCATTCTCAACAATGCCATGAAGAACACTGTTCTACATACATGTTTGTACACATGGTTCCCTCTTGAGAGTTCTTCCAGGCACAAAATCTTGAATTAGCAGCAGGGACCCCACGGGTCGTGTAATGCCAACTCCCACCCCATGTCCGATTTTGCTAAAGGCCTTCCAGAGATGGGGCGTTAGGTGATTATGACGATCGCTGACCCTCCCGGTCAGTTCGCCCTATATGCAGAAAGTGCCAATTTATAACATCTGTCTTTTTACAGATTGAAATCTTTTTTCTTCCAACTTCAACCCACTGGTCTGGTTATTGCCCTAGAACACCTCTTCTTCCACAGGAAAGGCTTAGGGATATTTGGAGACAGGCCAAGCTGCTTCCCCACCCCCAGGCTGCACTAAATGACACATCAGTGCCCAGGTCCCAAAGCCTGGGCTGTCCAGATCATAGAAGCCTCCAAGCTGGGCAAAGAGCAGGCACTCCACGGATATCTGTTGATGTGCTTTCCTTTTCCTTTTCTCTATTTACAGGAGAAAAGCAGGGTGCTCGAGATGAGAAAACTTTTCTCTGCATGGGGGGAATGAATGGGTCCTTATCCCTGGAATGGCTCCACCAGGCTATGGATCTCTCTTCCAGGCCAAAGAGGGTGTATGTGGGAGAATCACCACTGAAAAGGCCATGAGAGTTGGAATAAAGCATGTTTTACTTGCCATTTTGCCCCCTTGGGCTGGCTTGTGTTAAACAGGGAACCTACTGAATGAATGAAAGCCGGAGAGGGAGGGGTCCATTTACTTAAGAGCTAGCAGAGAAAAAGCTGTTTTCCCAAGGCATGCAGAGTGTCATGGGTGGAAAGAGCTGAACCGGAGGACGACCCCAAGGTAGCTTTTAATATAAAATCAAGTCATCTACGGTACCTATTTCATGATCATCATAATCACCTAACACCCAAAGCCACAGTTGACCTAGCCAATCAGCATCTCCTGGCTGCCCAATTCATTGGCCCTTTGCCAAAGGGCCTTTTGAAATCCGAGTGAACAGAGTTGAACACCCTGCTGCTTCTTTGCTCTGTTCCTTCCTTCCTGCTGGCCCCAGGAGTCACCCTCACACCCACTACAAAGGGCCAGGAACAGCCCACATTTCCACAGCCCACCCTCTGGCAGGGTATGCAAGGACACTCTCACAACTATTTCAGTGAAACTGTACGTGTCGCTGTCCTGCGAACTGGAGTAGCTAAGTCACGCTGAGAAGATGCTAGTTTATAGAGGAACTAGGAGTACTCGGCAGTTTACTGACAGCTTACAACCCAGCACCCCTTCCTGCCTTGGCAGAAACACAGGGCTGGGAGGAACATGGCAATGAAAAGGCCCTGTTTGGGCAGAGACTGGCAGGTGTCCACCCTGACACCATAAGCACAGAGCTGTCTGGGGCTGTGATCTTCCCCAGGGGCTGGGGAAACAGGGAGGAGCCGGATCTCCTCTCTCCCTGCCACACCCTCCATGGCCCAGAACCAGGAGAGGGAGAACATGGTCATTCCAGTCTAGACAAAGAGGAGCTGACCGAGAAAACAGACACCATTCTGATCTATCTACTTTGTGTAGTTTAACCATTTAGGCTTGAGTTAAAAAAAAAAAAAAATCTGACTAAGCTGTTTTCTCAGAAATGTTCTGCATCTCAGGGGACAAAGCAGGCAGGTGTAATGTCCTGGAAGGGCACAGTTCAATATTCTCTTTTCTATTGTTGAGGTTCAGTGACCTTTTGGGGGAGAGACGGACAATGGTCACGCTCTAATACTGCACTTCACATAAACTCTATAGGGAACTTATATTTGTGTTTGGTAAGGCCTGAGCATTATCGACATAATGGATACATGTACTTTAAAAATGCTTGGAAATATTCCATTTTCAAAATATACTCAAGGTTATTCTATTTAGACTCTCCCCTCTTGCCCCCACCAGGGATGTATAAAACATATTCTCCATGTGGCTGAAAACAAAAATAACTCAAACGCTAGAGACACCGCTGCTCACATCTTCTGACATGTGCTTGTTTAGAACACAGGATTGTGTGGTGCTGGGTGGCTCAGCCGGTCGAGAGTCTGACTCTTGAGTTGGGCTCAGGTCACGATCTCACAGTCGTGAGATCAAGCCTCAAGTCGGGCTCCATGCTGGGCACAGAGCTTGTTTCAGATTCTCTCCCTCTCCCTCTGCCCCTCCCCTGCTCTCTCTCAAAAACAAACAAACAAAAAAGAACACAGGATCATGGGTGGTGATATTCCGTATACAGATAAACAGGTCTCTATTCCCTATCACTACATACACCCTGGCTTTGAGGAACAAGTCAGATTACAACGGACTTTTCAACGTGTATCAGGAGTGAGGGGAGGGAGAAGACAGCTGTCGGAGACAGAAATACCTCTGTAGGAACAGGAAGTCCACCCGAGAAACCACAAGCCTGGATCCAAGGCCTGTGTGAAACCTCCCTTCCAGAAGGTGGTACAAGTTACAAGCAATGGCTATGTTCAGGGGCTCCCATTTGTAATCAAATACCAGGGGAGCAGTTATCAGTCTGGTCAACATGCCCATTAGGTGGGGCCTAACATAGAGGAAGGAGGGAAAGGGATCACCTGCTTCCTATTTTCTTTTGGTGCAAATGGGAACATGAAGGGAGACGTTTCTGCAATTCACCATTGACTGAATTTGGCTCTTGAGGTCAGACATTCCCTCCCAACCCTC